ACGGGAACCCCCGTGACTTTGACTGGGTGAGTCCTGAGCCCCCAGCACCGACCCTCTGTTCCCCCCTCACTGCTTTTGCTCAGCATTGGGCCTTCTCTCTGTGCCTGGTGGCTCTGCCTAGCTCTGCTCTTCCCCCCTCCTCCCCCGTGCTTTATTGGTTCGGTTGGTATCTCCTCTTTGAGCCATGTTGACTCTACTCACCCCACCCTTTCTTTCAGCGGGAGGTGGAGATCCTCATGTTCCTCAGCGCCATCGTGATGATGAAGAACCGCAGATCCAGTGAGTCCCCCCCACCCCTCGCTGGAACTATTCTGCAAGCAGGAGATGAGGGGGAGGGCATTCCAAGGACTGTTTTCAGGCTGGCATGGAGGGCTGGGCAAGCTTGGTCTCCATGTCCGAGCCCAGCAAGGATTCTGGCTTGGGAAGCATGGGGGGAAGGTCTGGAGGGGGTCTGGCTGAGGAGGTCACGTGGCAGGATTGGGGAGATCCTAGGGCAGCTCTGTCCCAAAGCCAGTGCGATGAAGTTATGGGGTCAATGTATGTTGGTGTCGATCCAGGGGGCAGGTACACAGGAGGTGGGGGACAGTCTGTGTTGGACGTTCCACATGCACCTCCGCTTCTCCGTAGACCGGGGCATTTGTCTGGGGCTGACCATCACCGCCATCTCTCTCCCCCAGTCACCGTGGATCAGCACCTGGGGAACATCTTCATGTTCAGTAAAGTGGCCAACGTAATCCTCTTCTTCCGGCTGGATGTGCGGATGGGGCTGCTCTACCTGACGCTCTGTATAGGTGAGATGCCACCTCGGGGACGTGCGGCTGGCTCGGAACAGAATCGAGTCTGTACCGTACCCTCTCCGCGCCCCGAGCCAGGTCGCTGTTCCACGGTGCTAGATGCTGCCCGTGCAGTGAGGGACGGTCCCTGCCCTGAGGAGCTGCCTATCTAACTAGACCAGCCAGACACGATGGGAGAGAGGATTGTTACTGAAACATCACTGTGCCTACCCAGCTTCTGCATCCGCATCTCCGATCCCACATGCCCTCTGAGCCTCCTTATGTATTTCGGGGGGGGGGGGTTCAGTGTAGCCTTGACTCTGAATATACCGGCTCTCAGCCATCAACTGGCTTTTTAAATGCCGCACCCTTTTAGGCTGGTAAGTCCCTATCACTTCACAGGGGAAGGTCTCGGGCTCCCTCTTGCTGCACTGTTTGGCTGGAAGCTTTTCATGCTCCCCTGTCCCAGAGGGGAGTAACTGCCAAGGCCGGGGTCCCACCTCTGCAGTAGGGGCCTGTGCAGATCGCTGCTGCTGCTAAGACCATCTTCCCGGCTTGTCGCTCTGGCTGCTTCACCCCTCTCCTTGCATGTCTTCTTGGCTCCCCTTTCCCCAGCACCCCAGACACATGCACCTGGTCTTCCCTTTCAGGGCCCTTCACAACCTGTCGCCACCCACCTATCCTCTCACAGGCGATCATGGTGTTCTGCCCCCCAGCCAGCCCGTGGTCCCAACCTTCATCACTTGGCTGTTCCATTTTCAAACAGGCTCCTTCATGCTTTCTCCCCTGTTGCCCCTCCCGCTTGGGAGGAGCCACCCATCAGCATTCACAAAGCTCCCTCCTCAGACCTCTCCTTTGCTAGGAAACCCACACAAAGCTTGCCGTAGACTAGGTGGCTGGGGTGCAGAGATCCACCGCCAACCATGCTGGCCGGTTCTGACTCATTGCTCCCTGCCTCTACCCAGGTCTTGTCTTAGATCACAAGCTCTGTGGGACAGGGATTGTTGTCTGGTTCTGTGTTTGTACAGCACCTAGCACAAGGTCCTGGGCCATGACTGGGCTACTAGCGCACACATTATACAGTCTGTGTCCCTGCCGTGCCTTAGAGTGAAACCAAGCTGTCGTCCCTTGGCTGAGCCCTCCGTTCTGAGATGCACCATTGCTTTCTGTGTGAGTGCGTTCAGCCTCTTTCCATCCTGTCCTCCTGACTCTGGAGCCGCTTGGGGAAATCCCCGGTAATACCCCCAGGGGAGATGTGATGTCCCCAGGGCCTCTGTGGGGGGTAGGGATGAACAATACCCACTTTCTAATGGAGACTCGCTTCAACCTTCACTACGCTGAGCTCCCTCTCCCTCCAGCATTCCTCTGGGTGGAACCAGTTCTCTGACCTGCTGTGACATGGGGCCTTTTAGTGACTGCTGGCAATTGGGAGACAGGCTGGCTTGGTGGGTTCAGCGCTAGGCTGGGAGCTCTGCCCCAGCCCACTGTGACCCCGGATGGGTCACTGCCCTTTTCAGTACTTGGAGATCTCTGAGTGAAAAGTGCTGAGTGGTGTTCCTGGTGGGCCCAGCTCTTCCCCGTGCTGTGTGGCGTCCACTCAGACAGCCGTGTTTCCACGCAAACACATTGCTTTCTATCTCAATGTACCGCACGTTACACCATTACCCATAAAACAGCCACCTCCCCCCTGCGTCTCAGCCACCCTCCCTGCTTTGCTTGTGTCTGCCAGGGTGTGAGCTTGTGTGTTAAGCTTTGCCTCAAGCGTGAGTATTGGAGCCACTGGCAGCCTTGTGCATTTCCACTGCTCCCTAGCCTCCAGCCCTTCAATTCCTTCCCCTTGTTCCCTACCTGCTAACACATGCATCCCCTGTCTGGCTTAACCTCCCCACATTTGGAGAGCTCAGACTGTAAGGAGGCAGTGTTGCCTAGTGGATAGAGCACTGGAGCAGACCTCAGTTCTGTTCCCTGCTTGGCGGCTGGCCTGCTGCGGCGCCTT